ACCTAACCTTGGAGAAATGAGGAATGAGTACATGTACATGTAAATCAGTTTCAATTAGTCACTGTATCACAATTCAGTGATTTAACAAGAAGTACCATATGTGTGGTAATTTTTGTTATTTGTGCTCACCTTAAATCCTTACAATTTAAACCACCTCTATTACCATTCTATTGTATATAGACTATGGCCAGAATATGAAAATTAGCTTGCACAAATATTAATTTTTGAGCAAATTTCATGAAAACATGAAATTTTTAAACACTCCAAAGTTTAAATGTATTCCGTATATGTTTGTGTAGTATATGTTTTAATTATCTTTATTTTTAGATTTGACTAAATTATCACTATCTGAAAACAAGTTAAAAGCATTACCACCTTGTAAGTGGATTAAATGTAGTCAGTATATACTTAGAGTATGTCGTGTTCTTTATCTTGTTATTAGTGGTTGGGTTGGAGAGGATTACTGAGATTGATTTAAGTCAAAACCAATTGAATGAATTCCCAATCATTAGACCAGGAAACACATTAAAGGTATTGGCATGTGTACATGTACATGTACATGTATGTGTTTGTCATGACATCAACTTCATCTTTATTGTTGTTTTGTGAGCATTACCTAATACATTGTACATGTGGTTTGTTAAAAATTTAGTTACTGCATCCCAAAAAAATTTAACATATTCGTAATACTCAACAGTTGCTTGAAGTTATTGTAGTGTCATTTACATTTAGTTTTGATTGATAAATTACATGTACATGTATAATTCATAATTTTTCATGTTCTTTCTTTGTTTTATCATCTCTTCTCTGTCTCTCTTTCCTCCTCCCCCTCTCTCCCCCTCAGTCTCTATTATTATCATTTAATAAGATTCAGACATTACAAGATGATAGACTCACTCACTTGTCTTCTCTCACTATATTAACTCTGAGAGAGAACAAACTAACAATGTGAGAATAGAATACATAATATAACAAATGTACAGTAACAATGATTAAGAACTATTAATAATAATAATAATAATAATAATAATAATAATAATAATAATAATAATAATAATAATAATAATAATAATAATAATAATAATAATAATAATAATAATAATAATAATAATATTGGGATCTGCACGAGTTCTGAGGAGACATTTAAATATGTAATTGTGTATCATAGTCTGTTGGTTATGGATTGATACTGAGTTTTGTACCAACTTGTTAGTTGTGATTATATTAAATAATAATAATAATAATAATAAGAGTAATTTATAATTACATGTACATGTATGAATGATTGTTAATGCAGTGTTAATCCATAGATGATAGAGTAAGTGACATTGTCTATCATGGTTAATGTGTTATTGGTCATTGTTTTTATTAACGTTTTGTTGCTCTAGGCTACCGGACTCGATTGTCCAGTTAAACAAGTTAAAGAGACTGGATTTAACTAATAATGATTTATCAAGGTGAGAGAAGGAGAGAGAAAGCTTGATAGTGTTTTAGTTTGTACTATTCATAATTATTTCTTTATTTATTTCTTTTACTATTATATTTCTCTTATAGTCTCCCCTACATGTTGGGAAGGTTTGAGTCTCTTCATTCTCTTCTCTTGGATGGTAATCCTCTCAAATTAATTAGACGTGACATCCTCCGGAAAGGAACGGTTGAGCTCCTCAAGTATCTCCGCTCTCGTATTGAAGAACCAGAAGAACACGTCTCACCACCAACCTCTCCCTCGTCCCTCAAGGTCTCCCCCTCACCATTCAAGTGAGAGATCATGTGACTTTTGATGATAGTCATGTGATGTTGTGTAGGGAAGGATCCCCGGTGGGGGGCATGGCCAGAAAGGAAGTTGTGTTGATGAAAGCTAATTTGACTGAGCTACCTCCTGAGTAAGAACAAGAGTTTTAATTATTATTAAAATATTTTTTAATGTTTTGAGGTTATTACTGTCACTATACATTTAATGTTAGTTATAATAAACTGACA